ATTTTTTAAAAAATACTCCCAAAGTGGAAGTGATATGTTATGATACTTAATTGGATCATGTATAGTTATGGTCTAGTGTATTGTTATTGAAGTAAGTTTATATGTATTTTTATATGTTTGTCCTATAGTTCAAAAAGGAAACACCCATGAGGAAGAGTCTAAAAAAATGAAAAGTTGTGTATTATAAAATACTAGCTTCTAATAACTCACACATTTATTATTTCAAGGTATTGCTAAAAGTTAGTTGTATACTACACAGTAATAAAAGTATAGAGATTATTTTTCTATTGTTATGAGATTTACTCTTGACTATGTTCTATGGATTTCTTAATTTTCTCTTTTTCTATTTACCTAATGGAAATATAACACGTCACTAAATTTAACAACTTGAAATGCACGATAAAAGTTCATTAATCTTTGTTGACCCTTCTTACCTCTTATAATTTTTCATTCACCATCCTTAGTTAAAATAAACCAGTGAGAACATTTAAGCATAGGAAAAAAGCTGACTAGTACAATTGCTTTTTAAATTCAGAATGGAATTCATGAGCCTTATCTACATTTTACTACAAAGATTGTTTCTTCCAAATGTCTAATGGTCATGTCTTTTCTTAAACACATTGTGTTTTAAGCATTAATAAAGATCAAAATTCCTGACTCCAGTTAATTCAACGTAATGTTTGACATATCATGTTATTAAATAATCTTATCACTAACCTTTATTTATAGACTTTATGAAAATTCCAATAAACCTATGTTTTCCTTACAAGATGTATTCGTTTTGTATTACTACCATGAACATATTGTAAGAATATAAAAACAACATTCATATGCTGTCACACAGTTCTATGGGAGAGAAGTCTGAAAACAATGGGCAGTGCTCAGCTGGACCCCTGCTGCAGCCTCACTGGCTGAAAACAGGTTGTTTTTTAAGCCAATTTTTTATTTGGGGCCCTGGGGAAGATTCACTTTCAACCTCATTGATGTCAGCTTTTAGGACCTTTGCACTTACAGAATTGAAGTCCCTATTTTCCTGTGTCTCTATTTTCCTAAAGGATAGTCAGGGTATATCTAATTGTGTGTACAAGAACTGGGTTGTAGGTCACAATCTGCAGGGCGGGGGTGTGGGGGTGGTAGAGTAAGAGGATTCCGCAGAGTCAGTGGGAGCTGAACAGGCAGGTTTACTGACATACACTGCTGAGGGGAGCAGCTGGCAAAACAGGAGAGGTCTGCAGTGCGATGAAGGCCAGCAACCTGGCAGGGGATAGAACTAGAACTGCAGTGGATGAGGATTGCCTCATAATGCTGAGACTTAACCCCTAGTGCCACCACAGAGTCCCAGCCAGGATCTGTCTTTCATCCTGATGGATGCTGTCCTGTTTTTTCCAGCTTCCCTTGTAGACCCCTCCAGCAGATACAAATTTATCCCTCTCTTGTGCTTCCAATCTTTTGTATTCTCCTTCTATAACACATCTCTGACACTAACTAGGGAAATTTCTTTTGCTCCTAAAGACTTGATATTCTTAGATTGAATCCATTGGGGACAATCCAAGGATAGTATCTTTATTGTAAGGTTTATGACCTTTTACATCTGCAGTGTTCCTTGTGCCATGTAATATTATACATTACATGTGCCAGGGATCAGAAAACAGATATTTATGGACTCCCATTTACCTACTATACTATATTTTAAAATGTCTTTGGTTTTACATTGTGTTAGGAAATTTTCCCATGCTTATAAGGTAAGCTTAGTGTTTTGAAGGGAAAGATGAAAATCTTCTGAAAGTATTCCACCTTATAATTTAAATACATCTTTTCTAGTTAGATTTTAATTAGAAATTGATTAAGATCAAAGGTAATGCATGAGTGTTTGAAGTCAAAATCTGTAAAATGCTCATTGGTTCAGGTTGTACAAATGCCCCCCACTGTTAGTGGTATTTTTAAACTCAAAGTTTCATACTAATAGTTTCAACTTTCAGATTTATTTTTCAGCTTGTTACATGATTTTTGCTTTCCTGATGCATCATCTCTCACTTTGTTTTTATATTGTTAAGATTACCACTTTGTGGTACAAAACCTTTTTCTTATTTTCCTAAAATCTTTCGACTGTGATTTGTACAGACCCAAAAATGTCCCCATTATGACCTGAAGATGTTTAGACAAAAATGTTTATTTCTAAGTTTAACTCCTATATATGAGTATTTCTAGAAATGCAGTAAAAACTTACACCATTTAATCATTTGTTTAAAATCCTACTGAAAATGCTTGTGAAAAAATACGTATACATATTTTTGTTTGTTTGTTTGTTTGTTTTCTTATATTTTCCAGTTGAGGGAAATTATTAGTATTGGTTGCTACTTATGAGCTTCACATTAATTACAATTACAGTGTATTTTTTTTTCATGTTGATAATTGTGAAAATCATGATTTCATTTTCATGAACCTCACAAATTCTCAGATATATGTATAATTTAGTTGTTTACAGACTCTTGTCAAAATGAACTTCAGTGTGAAAGTGAGCACATTAGTGAAATAGTTACATAATTAGTGAATAATTAAATTTATCAATTGATATATATTAACCATAGAAATCACTGTGTTTTATGCCACTTCAGATTTTCTTTTTAGTTTAATTTTGAATATAATGATTCTGTTAGATTCTGATGTGTTTAGAGATATGTTCCTTTATCATCTATGTTCTGTGAGTTAAATATGTTTTATATCTATGATGGCAAAACTCAAGGGAAAATATTACCTATGTTCCTGTACCAAATGTTGTATCTGAAGGACAAAAGACAACAAATGGCTTTTCCTATCATGTAGTTTATTTTTTCTTTAAAGCTATGTGCAAATACTTTTATACCTGACTCCCTTATATGTATGAATTGATACAGTATCATCACGGGATAAATAAAAAGAAGAGGGATTCAGGAATTTAGTTATTTAAGATTTGACTCCTCGTGCAAAAAAGGGAAAATAATTTACTGTCCATTATATTCTTTCAACTGTATTTTTAGGCATCATTTTCCCCAAAACCTGTAATTACTATTTTATTGGTAAAACCTACTTTCCAGAAAAAATTAATATAATTTTAGTATGTATTGAAATATGTAATGTCATTTTATCGTGACTTCCTATCAGAAACTAAATGAGGCTTCTGCTTATCAGAAACTAAATGAGGCTCATTTTTGCCTAAGTCTCCTCTCATATCTTAGAGATTTCATTACTACTTGTTTCCTTCACCTTACTATTAAGGGATAGAAGCTTAGCAAGTGTCTAATAGTCTAATAGCCAAAATCGCATTAAGCTGTGTGCATTATTTGAAAGAGAGCTAGGACCAGCACCGTCTTGCAGCTAATCTGTATCCAAATGGCACACTTTGTGTCATAAATTCTGATGGGAGGCCAGCAGTTTTATTGAGTAATTCAATGTATTAATTATTGTCTTAATCTTACCTCCACTATATTCTATATTTTCCTGACTAGAGTTTTCTAAATGCTAGTTACACATTTAGAGATTATTTGCTAAATATACTCTCATCTGCCTGTTATTTGGGGCTTATTTCTCCCGAATCTATGGCTCGAGGAGGTAACTTCTTGAATAGCACAGTTGACTGAGATTTGCTAAGATTGTTCTGGGTGGAGAGACAAATCACTTTGGAAACAAATTCTTCTTCACTGTGTATTTTAGATTTTAAAAGTCATGGCAAAAATAAGATTTTTTATTAGAAATTTGCCTCATTGGAAACATATCAGAAATACATTTAGTCTGTAAACACAGTCTGTTGAGTACTTCAGCTGCATCCCCCTAAAGGAAATGTTGTTCCACTTAATCTGTCCTAGTTATGCTTTTGTAGTAATCTGAGAGGAAATGGGAGCCATGCATCTTCCATGTTCTTCCTTCGGAATGCCCAAACCAGAAAGAAGTGAAAAATGTTTTTTTTCTAGACATTGATACAAGAAAATATTAAGAATTGGAAGAAACAAAATAAAGCCAAAGGGATAAACATTAGAAGCTTGCTTAAACAGCTTTGGCCTCCTATAATTGCTTTTCTGTCAGCAGGATTATTAACAATTTTGGACATCTGAAAATTAAATTAACATCCTGAAAATATTTTACAGAATGAGATAGAGCATGATACATGAAACATAATGACCCCACTGAAATTCAGCCAAGCCAGTGCAGCAACTCATTTAGACAGAGAAGACAACTAGTTAATCATCACTGAGCAAATTAGACAGAGCAAATTAGTTTGCCACATTCCACTGTCTTAGCTACCAAAAAGAATATATGCCACTAATTAGAATGAAAGAACGCTGAGCATATGATTATCTATATAGAAAAAGAAAGAAAAACTGTAGTTTGAATTGTTTCTGTCAAAGCTGAAGCCTAGGTTACAAAAGTATAAATTACACATATTGAAGTAGAACAGCTTTAGTGTATTCTTGCATTTTGGCCTAAATATTATAAACATTTTTTACATGCTTATTTAGATTTTGGGGGGGTTGTATACACATACATTCAAACACATGAAATACAAAAACATTTAAAAGTGATCCCTTTAATTAATGATTAAAATAAACATATCATATATTCCTTCCATGATATTTTTTTCCTTTCAAAAGTTTATTGCTGTCGCATGTGAAATAAATATTTGGACTTAGTTTATCACTGGAGATTAATCCAAAATCATATTTTGTAGCCTTAATTAGCATTCATTTGCTTAATTGTCATTCTCAGCCCCATCATTTCCATTTTTCACTAACTTGAACAATGCTATCTTCTGCTGTTTGCACTTTAATTTAAATTTCTATTAAGGTTTATGAACAGTAATAAGGTCCTGTTTGAATATTCATTAGCTTCTGAATTGTGAGCTATGAAAAGGTGCTTTCTTTTACCTTAATGAAACTGGCACAGCATGGGACTGATCAGTTGTGACATTTGATTTGAGGCATCCAGTGAATTTTCTCATTGTTTATTGACACATCTTGTCCAAACAGCTCCCTCGCAAGTGAGCGGAGTAATGAAGGAGAGAGTTCTGCAGCGGAGTGTCGAGCTTTCCTGGCAGGAACCAGAACATCCCAATGGAGTCATCACCGAATATGAAATCAAGTATTACGAGAAAGTAAGTGCTAAGAACAGCTGAAATGTACAACGATGCGCGGTATGTCTCGTGTTATCCGCCTGCACTATAGACTATAGGTCATTATGCCAACTATTTGGAACTACTTCAGAATTCCGAGTTAATTTTAGCCATTTTTTAATAACCTTCTCCCTGAATCTGTAGTTCATTACAATTATGATCCCTGCATATTATGTTTCTGTGGCACACAAATGAAAATACTCCACCATCGCTATATTTATTTACTCAGTATTTAATGTCATAATAATTAGGTAAGGTCAGACACATTTAGGATGATATGACTAAAGACAAATATAATAATGGGTTGAAGGATATTTTAGCACCACAGAAAACACATAGACTTATACGTGTTGTTAAATTGTTCTCTTTAGGATGTCTCTAGGGCACTTAATGATTTACCTCAGTTATATGATTTAGGTGAGCATGATGATGGCCTCTTAATAAAATGATTTGGAAAAATAAGAATATTTCTGTTGTAAATATGTAGTATTGTCCAAACTTTAGAATGAGGTGATATTACACACCTTTTAATTTCTTCTCAAATGTGTTTCAGGTATTTTAGACTAGTCACGTTTACCATTTCTTTACCAAGTGCTGACCCTGAAATCTTATGGTGACTATATTTTAGTAAACAGCAGCTTAGCCAAATGTCTGATTGCATTTAGATCTAATAAAATATGAACTAGGCATAATATATCAGTTATGCCTAGTTCATTTATGTTCCATCTAGAGAAAAGGGCAGCAAAGAGAGAGAGGGGGAAGAGGAGAAAATTCACTGTTCATAAATTATTATCTAGGTTCCACCTCACAGCAAACACTATTTCCATGTTTGAAATATGGAAACCATTAGCACTAACATTACTAATAGTAGTTGTAATAATACATGTTACTATTATTGACTTAATAGAGTTAATTGACTGTTATAATAGGCTTTTTAATCATTTAGGCCATTTTTCAAAATAGGAGCCTAAAGCTTTTGGAAAACTTTGGGGATGAATTGACTTGAATGAGTAAATTAAATTCACGCTGTACATTGGCAATAGATACATTTTTTCCCCTTTGAAAAGAATTACATTTATATTTAACGTTCAGATTAAGTTTAAAATATTTTTCACTGATTATTTTCAGTATGAATTCATGACTTCCCTGGCTAAATTTACATTTTAAATAAATATGTCATGGACCAAAGGCTACATTACTTGTTTCATCAAATATATTTCTGAGAGAATCCTTGTTTTAAATGTTGCTTTTTTATACCTGTTTTTAATGAGCTATAATACTTACAGCCTCTTCTGCAATTTCATGTTTGTCAATAAAATATATTTCTAAAAATATAGTGAAGAGGAAAATACGTACCTTGGTGTTTTGGTGAGATACATGTGAGCATCTTTACTCTGGAATGAATTTGTTCAAATAATTACTTTTCTATTAAGCATGACAGGAAGAATTATCTACATGAACTGATCTTACAAATTAGGCAATTATTAGAAGAGAACAATAGTGTCATTGTAATATGTGTAAGAATGTGATGTATAGTTGTATATGCATATATCATGTCACCTCATATCAGTTATGCCTAGTTCATTTATTTGAGAAAATATATTCATAATTCTGTTACTTTAATAAATGATTATAATGAAGAAAATCACAAAACAGCTTCATCAAATCCAGTTTAATTTAACATTTATTTACACATTTGCAAATAGCAGTGTGAAAGCAAATCAAACAACCAGACTGACATTTTCAAATTTCATTAGTTTTATTTAAACACAGGTGTTTGTTATAGAACAAATAAGAAACTGACAAAAATAATTCATTTTGATGAGTGGGTTTTTACAATATTTTCATAATCCATTAAATTATTTTAATTAAGTTTTAATATATTGTTCATTTGAACATCGTTTTGATGGAGGTTTTATATTAAAATTTTATATCTATTTCATTAATTTTCATATATAGTGTAATAAACCTATTTTTAAACTCTGAGTTTCAGAATTTACATTGGCAAAAATGAGGAAAATGATGAATCCTCATTTTTGATAAGTGAAGGTTTTAAGATGTCAAACCTTGAGTTATAGAATACTTTGAGTTTTAACTTGAAATATTGCATTTTTTATAAAAGTGGTTTCCTGTGAGAAAGCAGTTAAAAAAAGATTGCATCTTCATTTTACTATATAATAGTAGTGTTAACTAAATTTCTTGATTTAATAACCTCATTTTTACTAAGTGATTTTTTTTTTTTTTGCTTGCTGAATAACATTGAGGTCATTTATTAAGAGAGCTCCATTTTGAAATGAGGACCTCCCAAGCCATAGATTTTACAGGTATACCCTTGCTTTGTTCAAAAAGATCTTTGATTATATTTACGGCTAAATAGTTCTTGCCACTGTACTCTCCAACAAATCAAAGCTGGAAACATCATAAATGTTTTAACAAAATTATTTCTCTTTGAAATTTATAGAACAAAGGCATGTGTTCACATTTACATTTTATATTATCTTGAAACAGCTCAGTGTTTTAATATTCCACAGGGTACAGTATAACCCTTATAAAAACAATGCAGCAAATTGAAATAAATTGCAAGAATTGGCTGTCAAATTGTCTGGTTGCAATCACAATTAAATATTCCCTGTATATATTGTTTCTAGGATCAAAGGGAACGGACCTACTCGACAGTAAAGACCAAGTCCACTTCAGCCTCCATTAATAATCTGAAACCAGGAACAGTGTATGTTTTCCAGATTCGGGCTTTTACTGCTGCTGGTTATGGAAATTACAGTCCCAGGCTTGATGTTGCCACTCTAGAGGAAGCTACAGGTAAAATGTTTGAAGGTAATTACCACCTTTGGATTGGATTTTTTTAATCTTCATAACTCTAGTTTTTTTTTTTTTT